TGGAAGAGGTATTGTTGAACATCTTGGATGTAATTTTGATGATGTAGATATTTTAATGGGTACATTCTCAAAATCATTTGCTTCTGCAGGTGGGTATATTGCTTCAGATAAAAATACTATTTCAATGTTAAGATCTAATTGTTATTCATATGTTTATGGATCTCCAATGTCACCAGTAGAAGCACAACAAATTATTTCATGTTTAGAAATGATGAAAACAGAAGAAGGACAAAAAAGAATTGCACAATTAAGAAAATCTTCAATTTGTTTTAGAAGGAGACTTATTGAAGCAGGATGTCATGTTCTTGGTGATACTGATTCACCAGTTATTCCAGTTATGTTATATCATACAGGAAAAATTAAAGACATTTGTCGTATTTGTTTAAAGGGAGGAGTTGCTGTTGTTGGAGTAGGATTTCCAGCATGTACACCAACATCATGTCGTGTAAGGTTCTGTATTTCTGCAGCACATACTGATGAAGATATGGACAAAGCATATAACGTTATGATTAATGGAATGAAAGAAATAGGATGCATTTTTGGAAATACCCCTCAACCAAATGTTATTTATCATCCACCAAAAGTTGATTTATCTGAACTTGAGGCATTACCAAAAGAACCAAGAGAAATGACTTTATTAAGTGAAAATTCTGATAATAGAAAAATAATACAAGAAGTAACAAGACCAGTTGGTGTTGAATTAAGTTCATATGATATTCATGGATTTAATCAAGACATAGAAAGAACAGAAGAATTAATTAATGTTATTAACAACTTTGGATGTGGTTCATGTGGTCCACGAGCATTTTATGGAACTACAACAGAACATTTAGATGTAGAAAAAGAATTAATGAAGTATTTTGGAACTACAGATGCATTAGTTTATAGTTATGGAAATAATACATTAACATCAGTAATTCCAGTATATGGTAAAAAAGGAGATTTTATATTAGTTGATGAATATTGTAATTATCCAATTCAATTAGGATGTAGATTATCACGAGCCACAACTATAAAATATAATCATAATGACGCAAAAGATCTTCAAGAAAAATTAAACGAATATAAACAAAAAATTGTTTATCCTAATAAAATTATTATTATAACTGAAGGTGTTTTCCAACATGACTTCTCTATTGCTCCATTAAATGATATTGTTTCTTTAAGAAGTAAAAATGTATTATTAATTGTTGATGATTCTCTTGGTATAGGAGCTCTTGGTGCAACTTTGAAAGGAACATTAGAACATCTTGGACTAACTGTTAATGATGTTGATGTCCTTTGTGGTTCTATGGAATTTGTGTGTGATACTGTTGGTGGTTTTGTAGTTGGACATTATGATATGATTGAAAGACAACGACTTCTTGGTGCTGGATTTATTTTCTCTGCTTCAGCCCCTCCTTTCACTTGTCGTGCTGGTAAAATTGCATTTGAACGATTTGCTAGTAAGGGAGTTGATATGGGAATTGAATTAAGAGAAAGAAGAAATAAGTTCAACCAAATGATGAAAGAACAAGTAAAAAATGTAGAGATGATTGGTGATGAGTCTCTTCCATTTGTTTTATTAAATTCTAAAGATAATCAACAATTAATTGATGTATTAAAAGAAAAAGGATATCATGCTGTTCTTCAACATCATTTGGATGAAGATTGGTGTCAAAACAAATTTGTACGTTTGTGTATTGGAAATCAATTAACAGAAACCAAAATGACAGATATCATTACAGCCTTTGCTAAATTAAATTAAATATTATTAGTAAAATGAGGTTTTATTTTTAATACAGTATATAAATATTCTCTAATTTTTTATAAGAAATCTTTTTCAAAGTTTATTTTATAAACATATTTTTATTAAAAAATAAAAAACAAAATAACTAAATGGAAGAAGATTTTTTTAATAAAATCCTGGTGGTGGCATCATACCTGGTTGCATTGGTGGATATCCTGGTGGTGGATAGGCTCCAGGAGGTGGCACCATACCTGGTTGCATTGGTGGATATCCTGGTGGTGGGTAAGCACCGGGTGGTGGCATCATGCCTGGTTGCATTGGTGGAACCATTCCTGGGGCTGGTGCACCAGTTTGGAAAATAATTTGGATATGAATCTCACCTTTTTTTGAAAGACCTAACCAAGTATCAACGACTTGACCTGGGAAACCATTCAAAACTTTGTAATGAGTTGATCCAAGAGAGTCATTCTTTCCAAAGGTATCATAGTCATAAACTTCAAATTTAATATCTTCACCTGGAAAAACATCCATTATGAATGACTTATTCCATGATGGATTTCTGGTTTTGTAAACGGTTTGTGTTTGTTGGGTACATTGTCTTGTAATAATTTTACAATAAGGATCACTAGAAAGTCCACCGAAATCAGCTCCCTTTAAATTTCTTCCTTCAATAACTTTAAGTTCTATTCTCATAGTACTTTTTAAATTAATTTCTTTCCAGTTACCTTTAATAGTTCCTCGAAAAACTAAGAACTAAAATATTATAGTTTTTGAAATAACAAGGTTAATTAATATCTTTAAATTAATAATGAAAAACAATTCGATAAAAAGCAATGGTTTTTTCTTTTTATTAATATCAAGAAAAAAAAAATAAATTAATTTTTAATATTAAAACCATTAATTTATAAATCATCTAAATCATCTAAATCATCTAAATTCATTCAAAAGAATAAAAGATTTTTTTGAATGAAATTGATATAAACTCAAATAAAATAGAGAAATTAATTAATTTAGTTAATAAGACAATGAGAAAATTTTTTTTTTGGTTCTTCAATAGGTTTAATTTGAGAAAGTGTTTTTGGTTTGTTATGAATAGTGATATTGACACCAGGAAGATCAGGTAAAATAATAGAATTAAAATAATCATTTAAAATAAGAGTTTTCAAAGATTCAAATAGACGTAGATTAGTTAAATCTTTTTGAATAAGATCAGGACAATCAATAATAATAGAAATAATTTCTTTTTTAGAAGGTAATATAGAAATGTCAGGTGATTGTATTTTAAGTTCAAGATTACTACATAATGAAATATCAATAATATTTAAATCTCCTATTACTGTTATTTTTTTAATGTTTTTAGGAAGAATAAATTTAAAAGGAATCATTGAACCACCAATTTCTATTTCAACAAGAGAATTAACTGATGAAAGATCATTAAAAGGATTAGATGAACAAAATAATGTTTTCATTGGATAATATTTTTGCCAATCTCTAACGAATAAATCAAAATGAAATTTATCAATTCTAGACCATGCTTCTTTTGAAGAAATTGAATGAATATCTTCAGTTAATGAATTAGACATAATAATAACATTTTTATTAGGAGATTTTATATTTAATTCATTTCCATAAAAATAAATTTTTCTTTTTTTATTTGCAATTTGAATTATTTGATCACAATAAATTAAAGATTCTAATGGAGGTGGGTCATTTCCTAAATTTGTTGATTTAATACAAATTCTTTTAAGATTTTGAAGTTGTTTTAATTCTTCAAAATTCCAGTTATTAAGAAAAGTAGAAGTTAAAATAGTAGGTAATTTACTATTATTTTCAAATTGACTATATAATTCATAATAATTATCACCATAAAATTCAATAGTTAAATCATTTAATTGATTAAATGTTATCCAATGAATTTCAAAATCATTTCTATTTGTTATTAATTTTAATTTAATAATTCTTGATGAATATTTTATTAATTCTTTTAAATCAGGAATTATATCATCTACTATTTTATAACTTCTTTTTTCTGGTATTTTAACAATAGCATTAAAATTACATTCAAATGTACTAATGTTATGTAACTCTCCACAAACTGTTTGTAATGAATTACAATTTTTAAATATTTGTAACTCTTTTGTTTGTGTTATTAATGAATAATTTGGATTTATATGCATCATTTGAAATGACTCATAACAATTCTTACTAATCTGTAAAAACTTAACTAATTCATCTATTTTTTGTAAATAAAAAATAACATTCATTAAATAAACTCTTTCTAATCGTTTCATTAATCTATAAATCATTTATTAGTTCTTTTTAAACCTAAAAATCATATTTATCTTTTAAATTTCAATATATTTTGTTATATATAACCAAATTGTTTTATTGAGATTGAGCATTCATATTTCTCAAATTGTGTGAATAATCAACATTTTCTGCTTTATCAACAGCATTAGATAATGATGTAATACTATTAAATAATCTTTTAATACAATCACGTAATAATGTTATTTCAGATGCACCTACATTTGTTAAAATAATAGTTTCTGATTCTTCATTAATTGTTCTAAGACCTGCTCTTAATTTTTCCATTCTACAATATCTAATATCTTCAAAAACACCACGAATATCATCTAAATCAATAAAATCATCAGCAGCATATTTCATTAAAGCATAAGTAATTTCTTGATAATAATAAGGTAATGGAGTAAAATCATCATTATTTTGTTCTTCTTCTAATGTTTCTTTAAGTTGTTCTAAAGATAACCAATGAGGAATAACTAATTTACATAATCCTATTTGTTTAAAATGAATAGCCAACCATAAAGGAATTGAATATTTAATACCTTCTTCATAAGGACCATAATTATCAATAATCATTTGAAGTCTTTCAATTTTATTTAAAGGAATAATTTCTACTTTACATAAGTCTTGACTAAAAAACTGTTGTTGAAGAGGAGAAAGATATTGAGTATTTTCCATTATTCTAACAAATAAAATATAAAAGTTCTTTCTCTTTATTTTCTTCTTTTTCATTAAATAAAAATTTATTAATATATTATTTTATTATTATTTATTAATTAAAATTTAATTATTGTAAATTTCACATGAATTTATATCTTCTCTTTCATGGTGAACTTCATTATTCCATCAAGTTGTTTACTAAAATCAACTCTTTTCTTTATTAACTTTTTCGTGATTGCTTTTCCTTGACATTTAGAAAATCCTATTTTTTCACAATGAGAATATGGACTCATCTTTCGTCTTAACTCAGCTTCCCATTCACATTTTCCTTTATTACATTGACTACATTTACTTGGACTTTCTTCTCTTTCAATCATTTTATGAATTGATTGTGAAATATAATCAATTTCATCTGCAGCTCGATCAACAGTAGTAAATAATGCAGCACATCCACATATTCCACAATGATGATGTCTTACTTTTCTAATAAATTTGGGTGGTATTCTTCTTCTAAAATGTTTTTTTAAGAAATTGTGTTTATAATTATTTCTTATTTGCCAAACTTGTGCCATTCTTTCATTTATTGTCATTTTATCGTTTAATTCGAATTCATCTTCTGCAATGGCACTAGCAAAAATTATAAATACAAATAACAAAAAGACTTTGATTTGCATCTTCAATATTATGATTTTTAAGTTTGTTCTTTTTATTTTTCTTTTTTCATATATGTGTTTTTTATAACAAAAAAAACATTCAACAGATTTTATTTGGTTTGAAGTCTTTGAAAATCAATGTATTAAATATAAATTTTTTTGATTTGAAAAAGAATAAATCAGTTTGTTTCTCCAAGAAGTTTCTGATAGGAACTAGTAATGATAATTACTATAAAGTTAAATGAGTAATCACCCTAACTTTGACCATTTTAAGAGAACACATCTCAAAGACATACAACCTGGAGTCCGTGAAGGATGGTTAAAAAAGAAAGGGTATGAAGTCCATTCATGGAAACGAAGATATTTTGTAATCAAAAATGAGTTTATTTATTATTTTGCTAGTGCAAGTCCTAATTCTACACCAAAGGGTGTAATTGAGTTAAATTCTAAATCATTTGCAGAAGTAAAAGAAGGAGATGATTCTTTTACAAATATTATTATTTCAAGCGTTCATAGAAATCAAGAAATTATTGCTGATACACCTGATATGGGAGCAGCATGGGTTGATGCCATAAATAATCATATTAAAACATTAAAAAAAGTAGAAGAACAGAGGCAAATAGAAGAAGAAAAAGTAGTTATTCCTTTTAATGGGAAAACATGGCCAGAAATAAAAAATCAAATTAACGTTTGTAAACATCTTCACGAACGACATATCCCCAAAAAAGAATTAACTGGATTATTACAAAGTTTAGGTGAAGAGACATGTGAAAGATATTTTTATAATATATTAAATGAATGTTTTGCTAATTGGACTGATGAAGAAATTGCTGATTATGTTTGGATTAAATTCTGTAGAAATTTGATTCGTCTTGAAGAAATTCATGTAAAAGATCAATTAAAACGAAGAAAATCATTAATGAAAACTGAACGTGGTAAAATTTATAAATTACTTTCTGATTTAAATCCTGTCTTTGGTGGAACACAAGGAGCAGTATTAACTGCTTTTGGTAAAGAAAGTGAAAATAGTGATGATATTTTAATGGTATTAGGAAGAAATAGTCAAGCTGGTGTAAGGCTTGCAAACATTTATAACCAAATTATTGAAAACAATGACATCTCATTTGGTGAAATCATTAGAACAATTTTAGATGCTATGGAACGATGGAGAATGAGAACTGAAGAATTAATGTTTCGAGCATTTGTGACTGGAATTACTTCAAATTGGAATCCTGCAGAAGTCGCTTCACTTGTTTCTTTTTTAACAACATTTACTAAAGAACATGACTCATTTCCTTTGTTTGAAGAGCCATGGGAAGAATTA